GTATGTACGTACGTACGCACGCACATTATTTAAGGATTTTTAAGGAGACTACTATTTTTGTTATTCGTACCATCATGTACGAAACTTTCTGGTACGAAACTTTCTGAGATTCATTTTATCACATGGTAAGTTAATTTGGCAATGGAAAATAGATAATACACGTGAAGTGATAGATCAGTTGTCAATAGATGATCAGGATATGGATATTGGTAAAATTTTAGAGGATGATGTCACGCCTCATAGCTCTACAGATGATTCTGTTAATGAGAAGAAACATCGAGTTTTACTTGTTGATGATAATAATGATATGCGGTAATATATATAGATATTTATTCGATTAAAATTAATCACTTTTATAAATAAATTCGAAATTATATTTATTATTTTATTTATCGATTATCGGCAGAGATTATCTGGCAGATCTTTTAAAAGAATTTGACGTACTTCGTGCTTGCGACGGCCATGATGCTATACGAGTCTTAAAGAAACTTAAAAAACTACCCGACTTAATCCTTAGCGGCAAGTAATTTCTATTTGATATATTCTATGCATAACGATAATAATTATTGAATTGTATTATCGTTATTATTATTAGATATCATGATGCCAAATATGGATGGGTACGAGTTATTAGATTTTTTAAGATCCAATATAAAAACTCGATTGATTCCCATAATACTGTTATCCGCAAAAGCTGGAGAAGATTCTAAAGTCGAAGGTAAATTTAATTTAATTCTGAAATTTATTTTTTAATTTAATTCTATTTTCTTTACCAGTTTTTGATTTCTTTAGGTCTAGATAAAGGAGCAGATGACTATTTAATAAAACCATTTTCAGCTCGAGAATTAATTACTCGTATTCGCGCTAATATTGGACTTTCTATTCTTCGTCGTAAAATATCATCTCAACAAGCTAAGCAAGAAGAAACAAAGCAATTATTACTTACAATATCAAACAAGATTCTTTCTGGATTAACTCTGAATGAATCATTGTTCAATATTGTTAAAGAAATTCATAATAGATTACCAAGTGAAAGAATATTTATTGTTACAAACAATCAATCTGAATTTAAAAATAATAAAATAGTTGCTTTATACGAAGATCAGAACAATATAACACCGATGACTAATCCTTCAACTGGATTTAATGATGATGACATTCAAGATAATTTACAAACATTACCCAATTTACAAAAATCTTTAGATAATAATTCAGGAATAGATATCTTTTTTAATGTATATTGTGATAATGTTTGTAAAAATGTATCAGTATTATCTGTAGAAATAAGATTGAATAATATTTGTTGGGGATGGATAAAAGTCCATAGACCACCAAATTCTAATTGGCTTGATTCTGAAATAGAATTATTACAACAAATATCAAATCAAATAAGTTTAGGTATTACTTATGCACATATGTTGGAGGAGAATGCTGAAAATGAAATTAAAATAAAAGCTGCTGACGTTGCAAATAAGGCAAAGAGTCAAATCTTGGCTAATACTTCTCATGGTATATTATTCTCATTGTGTATCACGCATAATCTTTAAATCTTTTTTTTATATTTGCTAATTAAATTTTAATTCTCCTTCCATTCTCATTTCATGCTTATTCTATTATTATATGTAATAGAATTACGAACGCCACTAGGTGCAATAGTAGGCATTCTTTCTTCCTTCGAGAGTACTGCTTTAACTACTGATCAAAGAGATATGATTAATATCATGTCGCGAGCCTCTGATATAGTTTTATCTATAGTAAATGATATTCTGGATGCAGCAAGATTAGAAGCACGAAAAGTCACTTTAATGAGTAGAACATTTGATTTATTAGAATTATTTGAGAGTACGATTGAGTCATTTGGAAAAAAAGCTGGGGATAAAAAGATTGAACTAATTGTAAATTGTGAGGTAGATATGTTGCCTAGATATGTTAAGAGCGATCCTGAGAGGTGATTAAATTTAATATACTTTTTTATACTAGATGTATAAAAAATATTTTTTTTTATTGCTTACTTTGTTTCTTTCGTCTTTTATTGTTGTAAATAGGTTGAAACAAGTCTTGTCCCATTTATTATCAAATTCGTAACTATTAATCTTCTTTTACACATATATACATATACATTTACTTATTTTCAATTGGAGTTAATAATTATTTTTAATTTCTTAGAATTAAATTTACCGATGAGGGTAAAGTCGTAGTGACAATTTCAGTGCAATTACAAGATGTCATTGATGAAGACAAAGATAAATCAACTTATAGTCAAACTACTAAAAAAGAAAATTTGTTGATTGAAGTATTTGACACTGGCATTGGGTAAGATAATAAATTCTATAGTTCTGTATACTCTATATTAGATACATTTTATCTTTATATTATATAATATTATATAATATTATATATACTATATAATAAGTATATAAACTAACTATTTATTTATTAATAATAGCATGGAACCAGGATATATAGAACATGCATGGCAAAGTTATTCACAAGGTGATATGTCAATAACAAAGGCACAAGATGGTACAGGACTTGGTCTTTCAATTTGTAAAATCTAGTAGAAATTAATGGAGGAGAAATTCAAGTAGAAGGTCAATTAAGAAAAGGAAGCAAATTTTGGTTTACATGGAATGTTGAATTATTATCAATACCTCCTTCATTATCAAATACTTTTCATTTTGATCAAATAAGTTATATATTACCTAATTTTATCAAACAAAAATGAATGTTAATAATTCATCAACTTGAAGATGCAAGAAATTCATTGTTGAATTACCTCAAGGTAATTGAAAAAGTTGATGCGTTTGATACCTTTGATAAAGGTATTAACGCAGCAAAAAGTTATAGAGAATTTAATAATCAATCCGCTTATGATATAGTATTTATTGGACTTTATGAAAATAATGAAGAAGAGGTCATGAAATCAACATTAGAATTAAGAAGATTAGAAATAAGTAATAAAAGTTTAGTAATAATCTTTATAGTATTTCTAAATAATGAAGAAAATGAATTAGCCGAGAAATTAATTGGAAAAGTTGGGGGACCTACTACTATTCTTCACACTCCAATTACATGGACAAAGTTAATTAATCTATTTAGATGTATGGAAGGTAACTATTCCACTATTGATAAAAATAATAAGAATTTGCAGGTTAATGAAAATATTCTGAAGAGAGTAGCAGATTATAGGTTTTGTAAGTCTGAATATGCAGATCAAGATTTATATAAAGGCATAATAGAATGTGATTCTAAGATGAACAAGTGCATTCTATGTGTGGTATTGTCTCGTTTCTTTTATTTTTGTTAAAAAGCATATCTTTTAATATGTTTTTTGATATATTAAATTTCTTTATTACTATTAGTTTAGAGGTAATTTATAAATTTAAAAATATAGTTTCACATCCTTTACTAATTCTTTACTAATTTCCTAATCCTCTTTTATTTTTTAGAACACATTGCAAAAAGTTTCAAAACTTTGTTATTCAGCAATTTCTGCAACTAATGGTCTAGATGCAGTCAAATTGATTGATTCGAAATCTAAATTATTAAGTGATACATACTCCACAAGTTCATTCTATTCAGATATGGATCAGATAAAGTCTCATAACATTTCATTAATTTTAATTGAATATAATTTAGTAAGTTTATTTTTCTAAATTCGTTTGCTTATATCTATCAAGGTGAAATATTTACAATTCATTAATTATTTTTACTTAGCCAATGTTGTCAGGCTTTGAAGTCTCACAAGCAATTAGGGCAATGAATCCACCAATTTCAAATATGCCGATCATTGTTTTAACAGCTTTACCACTGGAAGAGATACGAAATAAATGTATCGAGTCAGGAATAAATGATTATCTTGCAAAACCTTTGAAAATTGAAGAACTTGAAAACGTTCTAACTAAATGGATTGATAAACATTAGAACTAATTATGATTAAAAAAAAATTAGAATTAATTATGATTTTAAAAAAAATTGGAATTAATTATGATTAAAAAGCATTATAAATTTATAAATATTTTATACTGATTTTTTTTTTCTTTTTATGCTTAAATTTGACTTTATCAACAATATGTTTTATAATATAATATATGTTTTTATATTTAACGTTTTGTAGTTATATTCTGCTATTTATACGTTTTTATCTATATTTTTTAATTACTTCATAAGCCTTTAGTTCTGTTATGGTTTATATGATTAATTATCTTTATTTTTTTATAATTATGTTTTCCTTTTTTCTCTAAAAATCATTTTTTTTAATGCAATATAATGTTTATATTTACTCAGGATTGGTCAAACTGTTGGTCGAATAAAACTTTGTCGTCAATCAAATAGTAGCGTTATGATCAAGGTGAATGTTATAAAACCGAGGCCAAATTGCAATCCATAAAATTTCAGATTATATGATTTTAAGTTTCATGTAGAAAAATCTATTTTTAAAAAATAAAAAATAAAGAATAAAGTAAACGATGAATAATAAAAAATAAAAATGAAAAATAAACGGTAATTATTATTCATACCTCTATCTTTTATAATCTGGGACACGTTAATCTCCGAATTTCAAATTCGATATTATAAACAATAATGTTAATCAAATATAATGCTTTATACGAAGAGGGTATAAATAGTGACAATGTGAGTATAAATAACAAAGCCTTATAAAAATAATTCAATTTTCATTATAAACTTAATAATAATTGTCGCGACTGATGCTGAGATTTGGGTCTCAATAAACATCCGCATATACTCTTTTATTAACAACTCTAATAAATTTGACATATTCTAATCCTAATTGTTATATTCTAACTATAGATGCAGACTTATGACATCATCTAGTTATGTCCTATATGGGAAATAAAACGCAATTGGCCGTAACTAATGACGTAAATAAGTCTGCATCTATAATTCTAACTTTTGCGAAACCTGCAATCGAGTAAAGGCCGTTAAAAACATGGAAATATTAAACAAGCAATAAAAGAAATATTCACCAATTCTTGACGTCAGTAACATGCCTCGTATTATTATTTGTATCCAACCAACATGCAATTACACTAATTTTTGTAAAGTCAAGGTCATGCCAAAAATATATGACTTGAAGACCCTTTTGCAATTGAGATTCGGTTGGCCAATATGGCTCTGAAATGGCGTCTTCACAACAGGTGAAATGAACAATCCATGTTTCATCTGCAGGTAGTTTCTTGTCACATAGGAGTGCCCGTTCATAGTGTTCCTTAAGCTCTTTTTTTGTTGCTGTAGCTAAAAGTTCAAGAGCAATTGTTGGATGATCAGGTTGTGATATAACTATGTCGACATACTTATTACTTATATGCTCACTAGCACGATATTTTAGATGCCATTGTCCCGTTATTGTAAATCTACCAAGCCAATTTGACATGATTCGGTAAAGTTCTGCATCATACACCGATTCCCTAGGAACTTTTCGATCATACGAATTGCTAACAAGTACACGCGCTAACTTAAAAGAGTTACAGGATTTTATTGTTTCGCGATCAAATACACGTATAACTTGTTTTAAGACCTCAAAGATGTCTAAGGTACCTGTCGAAGGATGGTATGGGACATCTACTTTAGGTGAAGTCAGAAATACATGAGGAATTACTTGCTGAAGAACCATTCAGCGCACTAAAGGTGAAGAAATTTTAAATGTTCCATCATTATCCCCAGGGACAAGGACTCCTGCTGCTGTGAGAAACCAAGCTAGGTTTCTTTTGTTTTCAGTGACAAGTACAGAGTCAAAATTCGCCAGAAAATCGGATCGGAATAGTTTCATAGCATCCACAGAATTCTCATTCAAAAGGACATCTTTCATTCTCATAAACGTTGGGTATTCTAAAATCATATTTTCTAGTAAGAAGGTGGCAAAACGTTGCCATGAGTCGTAGCTCAAGTGTAAACCTTTTTCTGGTAGTAGTTTTCTATGTATCGCACGTCCACAAAGGCAGACAAGAGCAGCATGTCTATTAAAAAAAAATAGAAAATTTTAATACTCTTAGTGAGGATTAATTTTCATCTAGTTATATACCCGTTTGTTTGTAAGTATATGTCTTCGATAACTTCCTGGTCAATTGTCAACTCATATTCATTCGCAAATTCTTTGTATATAAACTGTACTTGCTCCAAAGTAAAGTTCGGGTTCTGGAATGATTCATTAACGTTGAATGGTGAAGTGGTCATATTATTCGAATTTAAATGCATGATGCTGAAGGGTCCAATGGCAATGATAGAGTGTATGGCATAGTCTTGTTTATTAGCTTTGATGCCACGAAGAGTCATCAGACACGAGGCAAGAACGTCTTCCGTTGCATTATACAACATATCAAACTCATCAAACAGGATGACAGTATCTAAAGACTTCCATTGAGTTCTATGAAAAGTGTTAAGAAAATCATTTGCGGATTTGATTTGTAGGCTTTTTAGAGGACCAAAAAGTTCGGGTGCGTTATGTTGAAGTGTCATGCCGAGTGTTTGCCAGAAAAGGTCTACATTATTCATGCTGACATGTTCAAAAGTTGCACTATACAAGGGAAATGATAACACAACAGAAAGTGAAGGTCGAAGTTTGATTACATTCTCTGTTAATTTAGTAAACGACTATTAAGCGAAAGCTAGCTTACTAGATGCAAACAAAGTCTTGCTATTTAACTGGTCCTGAAGTTGGAGCACTCGTGTAGTCTTCCCAGAGGCTCGTGATCCATATAATGCTATAAATTCACCTCGATGTATTGATTCAAGAAGTGGAGCATTCTGCTCTGTCGGATCTATGAAATAGATGATAGAATGCTCTTCTCGAGTAATGGCACTATTTACCATCCACTTTCTTTTCATCAGCTTAGTAATCACAACTGATTAAGCAAAAAATTAGTAAGAATAAGCATGGTACAAAGCAAATCCAACTCTGTATAATCTTACGTTCTTTTCTGCCTTTCTTTTTTTCTTAAGTACTGGTATTAGCGAGACACAAGCTAATAAATGAAATTATTGAAATTATTGCGGAGAAAGCAGTATAGGTTTGGAATATTCAAATGCAGTCGTTGTACTACTTGCCCTGGTCTTCGCCCTTAATTTTCTCAATAAGTTCAGCAATGGTTTCAGCCGGCCCTCCTTTTAAACCATAGCTCGTGAGCTTATCCACATTCAATCTAAGGAATGCTGAACCGCGGACCCAGTTATCTTCAATTATTTTAATGTCTCCATCTCTGAGAAATAATTTTTTTTCTTCATTATAAAACTTCAGAAAAGCAATAACTTTATCTGGGCTCCATTCACTAACTTCTTCGACTGGTGGAAGAGAGGTATGATCAGACATAGTTTCTTATTTTTTTTGTGCAATAAAAGTTGTACAACTTGCGCAGAAAGCGAAAAAATTTATTTAGCAATAAATAGTCGTACATTCACCCTTTTATAGTTTATACAAACAGGTCATGGCATCATGATGATTTTCCTTATGTCAAGAAAATTATCTACATTCGAAATAAAACACAATTTCGATAATAATACCCCTGTTTGTTATTTTAATATAAAACAGCTTTGCTATACGTAAAATTTCATGCTACGCATTTGTACTTAGAAGTACATAGCTGTAAAATTTTGTGTTATTTACAGTTTTTTGTTTACGTTAGGGCAGCATTTGTTTACGTTACACGAAGATCTACTCAGTGACATCAAAGTCACACCTCTTCAGGAATAATTAGTTTTTGATTTTTTGTCTGGATAACAATCAACAAATTCGAATAAAAATTCCGCATGCAAGGATATAATAGATGAGTCAGGAACTTAAAACTATTGTGAAATAGTGAAGCTTTCACTTATCGTTTCTTTCCTTAAAAAATTATCACATTCACATCGTTTATATATCCTATCCGCTACTTTTTTTGCATCTTACAATATATGATTGCATTCGTCACAAATCTTACATCCGTGATCCCAATCTCTATATATGACATTTTTCGAAGTATTTTTGTTCTGATCTTTCATTGTTATATTAAGGCCATTTGAAGTTGATTCTTCGGTTAACGTAACCCCCCCTCCTCCTGGCCATCCCCCAAAAAACGAACAAGCCAATCACAACATTGTAATATTGTTATCCAATCATATCTCATCCAGTAATCGTCTTGTGATTGGCCTGTTTAATTTTTTGTTTAATTTGTTTAATTTGTTATACCCCCCGTCCGAGCTCAAAAGTTGACGTTAACCGAAGAATCAACTTCAAGCGGCCTAATAGAAAAAGTAATATATAACTTATTACCCACGCAAATAAGTAAAATGGGATGACCCGGTGCATAAATTTTATACTGGGTTCAAACTTAACTAAATAGAAATCTGCGCATATGATGAGCTAAGCCACAAAAAAACATCAGACAAACTTCGGACCTGACCGGACTCATAATTGAGTTTGGGTTTGGTCCGAAGTTCGAAGCTAGTAAAATTTAGAGTTTGAGTCTGGTTCGATCCCTGACCGAACCCGGACCGGACCCGAACCAGACCTAGGAGCACTAGCTTATATTATCAGGTTTCACATTATCAATAAACCTTTAGTGACCCAGCAACAGATTTTAATTTTTTTTTAAAAAAATATATTTTTAATAATTTTTATTTAAAATTTTTATTGATACTCAATCTGAATATCTGATAAAAAAGTTTTATATGCTAAAAATTTAATAATGATATAGAGTATGAAAGATGATCTATCATTTTACCAAATTAAAAGCATTTTATATAGTCAAAAGTAAAAATAGATATGTAGCTGTGCAATATAATTGTGTTTAAACCAAGAATTAGTATGATGACTAGAATTTATTAAGGATCCAAGTATAGTGACAAATTTTTTAATATTTATAAAAAATATTATCCAATTATTAATTATCTTATATAATCTATTTCGAAGTTCATTTATTTTGCCAATTAATTAAACTTGTAGTATATGTATGATGAAATCATGTAATTAAATAAAATTTGAATTAATTACTACATATGTTATATATAACCTACACATCTTGCACATGAAATATGCATTACCTATAGAAGATTCTTTAAGTAGTGATGGGTAACTTAAAACAATTAGTAAGGTTTTGAATATTTTTAAAAATTTTAGAGTGTTTAAAATTTGACCAGCATTGAGAAAAAATAATACTATTTCGTAATATTCTAAATAGAAATGAATGGATGTGAATTATGTGCAATATTAAAACCAAAATTTGAGTAAGGTCTGAAATATTTCAAGGCTTTGCTAGCATTAAAATAATGTAGTATATACTTTTGCTAATTTGTTTGAATACATGGTAAATGAAGAGAAAGAGGATTACAGAAGATCAGTATAGTACAAGTGACCGGATCAGTATAATACAGGTTGAAATTAAGAACTATACCATACTGATCAGCTATAATTCCTATCCTTAACGCTAATATATATACTGAAGAGAAAGCTACCCTAGGATCAGAAAATTTTGAAAATATTTATATAGAATTTATAAATATCGAATGCGACTAATGCACCAAATGGTTAGACCTGAATATCCTAAAACTAACCTGATTGTGATATATTTATTATATTGATCACTACCTATATAACTAGAAAATCAGAATCTTATATAAGTCTGAAGCGAAATATATGTATATGTATAACATAAATAACTTTTCTATTGAGTATTGTTACACTGACTGCAGATCATCATGGTGCATCAAGTTTGCTTAGAAATATGGGTCCTCGCTATGCTTTGGGCAATAAAATATATTATAGCATTCCAACATCGAGTCATTCAGGTCGACCAGATCGGAACACTAAATGCTACGTTATACAATGAACTTTGAAAAGAATATAATTATATTTGAAACTGATAAACTGATAAATCTATAGATTTATGTGTAGGTGCTTGATCTTATTGAAGCCTACAATATTCTTACAACAAAAGAAATGGTTTAAAAACTATTGAGTCAAATTTCATACTATGCCGAAAATTGGATACT